CAAATTCCAATGTTGGAAAATGGCTGCCCCATGTTGTCAATAGCAAAACAGGGGAGGTAATTGTGTTGTTATTTCCTGTGTCATAGATTTTTAAGGGTGGGAATAATGCCCATGATCGTATAATAGTGATTTGATAACCTATTGAGCAAAAGACATAGAAATAATTATGTTTTGACTTTCTTAGAAAATTTGAAATTTTCGCTTTAAGCATCTACATTTCCTACATACCTTGAAACTTGTGAAATGAAATAAGATGGGTTTTAACATCACACTAGCACCAACTGGGCTAATAAAAACTGGAATACTTCATGCAGTTTCCCTTGAGGGAAAGTTTACCTAAACAGCAAAATTTCCGCCTACTCTCATAAAATACCAACTGTCAAGGGTTATGTTTACATGCCAACATGCCAACGACTATATGACCAAGTGTCTACGTAACATAGGCTGAAACCCCAGAACCCTGGTTTTTTGGGCTTACAAATCACAGGCAATGAATATGCATTATAAATGTCGAGCTTCACTTTGTACAAATGGAATGAAATAGGGTTTAATGTCCTACTGCACTGCACCGGCTGGGCTAATGAAGACAGGCATACCAGACAGTGTGCTATGAGTGAAACTTTGCCTGGATAATGGTTCTTTTATGTGTACGCCAATGTGCACACAGGACCTCATTTTTTTGTCCTGTCTGCATGACCACCAGGCCCTCCATCCTACATCACAGACAAGTGGGAACCATGCCGAAAAAAAATCCAGATGAACTTTCTCGGACAAGACATCATTTTGTACACACCCTTATATAATCAATCTATAGGTATTAGAAACACACCTGGTGAATATTAGCTATATCTATTGATATATATACCACTTATACCTGTATAATATACAATCAAATATATATACCTAACAGGTGCCCCCCTCTAACACATAACAGGTACTGTTCTATAGATGGTACAGGAGTATATATTACATGTACATGTATATAAAAGTATATAGTATATTACCAAAATACCTATAACCAAGATATAGCCCTCTATTGAAAATTTCTTTTATCTGCAATAAATTACTATTCTGATTAGTTTTTGGCGTCAGAACTTTTAGTTTTCTTGCTCCATCAAAATGGAACAATGTTTGAGTATTCATCAAAAGTGTTTCTTTTATATTGATTGTTTTAAATCCAGATTTATATCTAATTTAATTTTGTGTGTAGAAATCACATAGAGTATAATTTCAGTGTTGAATTAGCACTATACGAAAGTTCATGTCATTGTTATACATGCATACAAAATACTGCACTACATACCTGGATAATATATAGGTATCAGTAAATATGATTAGTCAAAATATTACACTACATACCTGGATAATATATAGGTATCAGTAAATATGATTAGTCAATATATTGCACTACATACCTGGATAATATATTTCAGTATATATGATTAGTCAATATTAAAGTTCATTGTGTGTTTTAAATCCAGACTTACAATGTACCTATGTTATATTTAAATTTGAAATCTATGATTGGCAAGTAGCCGTCACAGATTTCTCTCATGAAGCGACTAGTTTCGTTCATTTCGAGAGAGAGAGAGAGAGAAATGGGGTTTAACGTCCACTCGACACAAACTAGGTCATTTCGGGACTAACATATGGTTTAATTTTATTTACATAATTCGCTTCACGTAGGGGTCTTTAGCAGTAAGAGGAAACCGGAGGCCCCGGAGAAAACCCACGAGGTTGGACAGGCGACCCTATACTCCTTGCCACGTACAACCGGGGATTCGAAACCACGGCAGTCGACTCAATGACAGACTTTATGATACAGCGCGCGCACGCTAACCATTCAGCCATCCAACCCCCCCGTTCATTTCGAACTCATCAGGCAAGTGAAATAATGCAAATGTTCCCATTATAGGTCTCGGATGGACCTGTGCAGTGCTGCATCACTGGAGACTGCTAAAGAGCTGCTGTTATAAAATGCTTATTTGCATATACCCATTTGACTGTGTCGAAGGGTCCCCACATTCTTTATATGTTATATCTAATTTAAGAAATCAAAATATTTTAAGTGTGGAATTATCACTATCATACAGTTCATATTATTATTATTATACCTATATACATAATATTGTAACACATACCTGGATATATACCAATCAGTAAATATATATTTAGTCAATATCAAAGTTAATAACAGCTTATCAAAACACAAATACTCTCACTGAAGTACGAACACACACATCTCAAATTGATATAACTGACAATGAATGAATGACACAATGCTCTTGAGACCCTCCTTAATTTAAAACTGAATCATAATGGCATTAAAGCTCTAGTATAAAATCACCAAATATAGAAATGTTAAATTCTTTATGAAACAAGTACAGAATCTGCATACAATCTATGTAGTGACGTAGATATTTGTTAACAATATTTGTAATGCTAAAGTCAATTCTAACGAAGAGAAAACAGTAATATTTGTATTATATGACGTTGGTGTGTATTGGTCGTTGTATTTCTGACCTGTGTCAATATATCAGTACCATAATCTATCAATAAATATTAATAAAGTTACCAAGGTCTTTTGTTATTTCTGTCGTCTCACTCGATGATGATCGACATACCTCCCTCTTCCGTCATATATTACAACACACGGTATTCTAAATGTTTATAGAAATGGTAAGTATAGGAACTGTGATGTCTGTTTACTGATTAATCAATAAATACAGATCTAAATATACACGTCATCGACAGTTGAAACACATATATATACGTCATCGACAGTTGAAACACATAACAGAACTTTTACTTCAAAATATACACGTCATAGACAGTTGAAACATATAACAAAACTTTTACTTCAAAATATACACATCATAGGGTTCTTTAGGAGTGGGAGAAAACCGGAGGACCCAGAGAAAACCCACAAGGTTGGACAGGCGACCCTACTCCTTGGTTCAATGACAGATCTTTTACGTGCATGCCAATGCATACACGAGACCTCAGCTTTTTCATCTCATCCGAATGACTAGACAGCTATCCTTGTCAGGCCCTCCGCCCTGCGCCACTGACAAGGGGAGACCCTGTCGGAAAAATCCTGATGAACTTTCTTGGCCAATGCAGGGATCAAATCTGCGACCTCCAGGCTAGCGAGCCAGCATCTTGCCTACTTGAGAAAAGACTTTACCACCACTATCTCGACAAAATTCCCAAGTTCATTTCATTTCGCAATATATTCTATCAACAGCTAAAACATGTACTTCAAATTTAAACCAGCCAGTTAATTATGTTTACCTCGGATTAGCGAATTATTTTTTTCAAAGAAAATATAAATTTCTAACATCATCCCAATTTTTTAATATACTTGTAAATATTTGTTCATTAGCCGCATGAACTCCATTTTGGTTAAATTAATTCAATGGACGAGTTAATAATCCTTTATGAAGAAAACTCAATAAAATAAAAACACAAATTTAATCTACTGAATAAAAATAACCGTACATGTCAAACTTAAATAAAAATAGATTTAGATTTATCGATGCTCCGTCCGTCAATTTTCAATAAAATATTTGACTGCTTGCAATATACATCAATATATCCATGGATCCTCTAATACCATATATGGATGTGATCGTTATTGGCAATGTCTGGTGCGTTGACGTTAAGTGCTCTGAGTTTTTTTTTATATATATCCAAGACAAAATTAGAACAAAGCTAAATCCAAAAATAACTAAGTACTTACTACAAAACAAAAAATATTTCGCATCAATCTACTAGGCGTCTATCATATTGAAATGAGATGAACTGATGGTTTAACGCATACCGTACCAAATGGGTTCTATTACTGTGAAGGACACTTCCCTGTCATTTTTATTTTTTTTATGTCTAGGGAGGAGCCACGCTTACTAAGAATAAAACTTTCACACCAATCTACTATAAGCACCTAGATATAAAACTCTGAGAGAGAGAGAGAAAGAGAGAGAGAGAGAGAGAGGTTTAATGTCCACTCGACACAAACTAGGTCATTTCGGGACTAACATATGGTTCAATTTTATTTCAATAATTCCCTTGCACGTAGGGGGTCTTTAGCAGTGGGAGGAAAACGGAGGATCCGGAGAAAACCCACGATGTTGGACAGGCGACCCTACACCATGTCACATATACATCCGGGGAATCGAAATCACGCCAGTTAACTCAATGACAGACCATATGATACAACGCGCATGTGCTAACCATTTGGCCATCCCCCCCCATCCCTTTTCTTACAAAATTTGTATAAAACTCTTCAGCATCTTTTGCTCTCTATATCATGTATCAAGTGTAGTCGACTTTCTAGAATATGAACAGATCTTAAACATGCTGAGTCATAATGACATAACAAAATTCATGCGAGAAATTTCTGAACAAACTTTAATTGAAAGGATTTAAGGCTTTGATACTGCAGAAAGGATTGCGAAATGTAAATGAAATGGGGTTCAACATCCACCTTTGTTCAACCATCAGGGCTAATGAAATGAGGTTTAACGTTCTGCTCCGACTGGGCTAATGAAGACAAACATAAGTCATACACTGCAGCGCTACAGCCTACTCTTATTGCGTATTCCAACTGCCGAGGGGTCTTTTACGTGCACACCAATGTGTACACAGGACCTTGATTTTTAGTCCCATCCGAATGACTATAGAGAGCTGCTGTCCTTGTCAGACCTTCTGTCCTGCACCCACAACCTCAGGTCTAGCGAGCCAGCTTCTTACTCACATAGCCACTGTGGCTCCCTCAGGGTTAATGAAGACAGCATGCAATGTTCTATGAGGGTTCACATGTACACAAGATCTTTTCATCCTATACGAATGACTATATACTGTTCCTCGCAAGGTCTCCATCCCGCACTACTGACGAGGGGAAACCATGCTGAAAAATGGTTCGTTAGTGAGCCAGCCATTGTGGCTGCTATAGAAATATGAAAAACCTATTGATTCAAAAGTTATTTTAAATACATTACCTTATTTTCTCATGAAAACCGAATAAAATCCTTCAATATTCCAATATTATTAAAAGAGGCCTGATATTGATACAGTTTGATTAATCGACTCTCTGACGGACACAACTCTTAAATGGTAGAGTTCTAATGCTGCTTCAAAAAGAAATAACAAAATTATCCAATTCTCTGAATGAATAGACTTCTATACAGGCTCTTGTATATATCCTGGATCGTAGGTAACTTAAAACACTTCTAAGGCAAAAATTATCCAACTTTCTCAATAAATATAGATTTTAACACAATATCTCTCCTTGTACTTTGGATCTTAACTTAATAAAACACTATTCATACGCCAAAATAACAAATATCGACTGAACACCAACTTCTATTGTTGAGATGTTTCATGTAGCATTTATCGTAGTCTAACTTGCTGTCTATGATGTATTTGTGAAGTGATAGTTTATGTATAGTTTCAAGCAATGTTTATTCAACACTAATTATTCCAAGTAAATATACATATATAACCAAAAAGGTTTATAACAAAATCACCTGAACATCAAATTCTATTGTGGAGAATACTACGTATTCGTGGTCTAATTTATCTATGCTGCAGTCTATGTTTAGTTTCAAGTAATGTTTATTTAAATCCAATTAATCCAAATTATATATTCTTTTATGAAAATGCAACGTCTATTCACAAGAATTTCACTATATATAACTATCTATCAACCTATTCTTAGTCTAGTTATATATGTACTATGTCTAACTTATCTAAGAAAATGCACTTCTATAATTCACAAGAATTTCACGATATTTATCTATTCTTCTATATTGTTAAGTCAATTTTCAACAACAACAGCAACCTATTCTTAGTCCAAACTAAACACTTCCGAGTTCACCAGACATATTTATGGCAAATCTTAACAATATATATAATCCATTGTGTGAACTTTAACATTAAATGGTGTAGGACTACATGGAATGTAAGAAACGATGATGCCGCCCCACGATATTCAATTAGAGCTATTGACAGTGAGATGAAACCATCATGTGATAGAGATTCCCCCTTAATATAACATGTGTTATTCTTCACTAAATTAACACCAGAGCTTAAAATATACATATATATATATCAATCGGCAGGATATCAAAGGTTTGGGTGTGTGATACTTTGTTTGTTTGGTATTAAAGCTTCGGTTAAATTTTTCCTTTCAACTTTTTTTTCTTTTAATGTAATGAGTTGAAAATGTTGATTTATTTTTAAATTTTAACCAACTATATTTTATTATTAATTTCTCATTTACAAAATACCCAATAAACTAATAAAAAATTGCTATGACCGGTTAAATTTTTCCTTTCAACTTTTTTACTTTTAATGAACCAGTAAAGAGATCAATTAATGCTGATTTATTTTTAAATTTTAACCAACTATGCTTTTTATTAATTTCTCATTTACAAACTATCCAATAAACTAAATAAAATTAGCTACGACTGGTTAAATTTTTCCTTTTAACTTTTTTATTTTAATGTAAAAGATGAAATGCTGATTCATCTTTAAATTTTAAAAATCTACGTTAATTATTTTGTTCCATATTTCTGTGAACAGTATTTACAAAATATCCAATAAACTAAATAAAATAGTTTGTTTGTTTGGTACTATTTTTATAAAGAGAGTTTAGTTAGGACCCGTTCAATTTTTCCTTTCTACCTTTTTCTATTAAAGATACATTCTCGCGTACAAACTGGGTGATTTGATGATATTTGAACTAAAAACATATTCAAACTAATTAATCTATCAAAAATTTGCTTCAAATCCCTCTCAAAATATTGAATTTGCGAGGAAATACCCCAAGATAAAGAAAATCTATTTTTAGAAGCCATGTTTGTTATGTAAATTGATTGAGGGAAGGTCCATTTTCAGAATGTATTTGTCGTTACTTACTGTCAATTTGCCATACATATCAACGCCTAAGTAAATTCTTGGATTATCTTCTTCCCACTTCTTTTTCCACCGTTTAATTGCAGAGTCTTGTGTAAGTTTAAACACCTCAATATCCCCAAAACTGCATAACCATTCGATCAAGAAATAACAAGCGCTCCCTATGTCAAGCTGGCAGTTAGTGTTACCCTGACATTTTTGCCCAGCGCTTGCCCCATGGGTGTTTTTCATGGAATCCAGTATTTTTCTAGTAAGATTGGGCGTCTTTATTGGAAATAACCACCTGATAAATACTTTCGTCAGAATGTGTCTTTAATGTAATGTAATGAAATGCCGCTTATTTTTTGCTAATAAAGGCTGTTTAATTAGCTATGACCATTTAAATTTTTCCTTTAACCTACTTTTTATTTAATGTGATGAGATGAAATACTGATTTTTAAAAAAAGATCTTAACCAACCATGCTTATTATTTGTCTCATATTTCTATGCAGAGTATAGGCTTACCCACTATCTATACTAATATTTGTGACTGTCGTTTGTCTGTCTGTTTGTCTGTCTGTCTGTTCGGGGTTGGCGGCTACACTAGGTATGCCCCGAGTCTGAAATTTGGGGTATAGGGGTAGCTCGGACCGGGGAGTAACATAGGCCAGGTGGCGTCAGTCTACCACTTCCGGTTTCGGGGTTATGACCCCCGAGCGAAGCTGGGCATTCTTCTAGTACTAAATAAGACAGACCATTTGATTGCAATAAATAAAGCAGTTTACGTTAATAAGAGAAAGAGCGAAATGGGGTTTAACATCCACTCGACACAAACTAGGTCATATGGTTCAATTTTATTTCAATAATTCGCTTGTGCGTAGGGGTCTTTAGCAGTGGGAGGAAACCGGAAGACCAGGAGAAAACCCACGAGGTTGGTTTAGGTTAATAAATAATTCCAATAATAAACACTAAGAAATAAAGTATAATGGTGAAAAGATTACTGGATTCCAGTTCAATATGGGGGAGTAACTGGAGCTAAACTAAAAATACAATAAATTGATAACATCATATGAAGAATAACAAAAACAAACACAAATCACAGTAAATGATTGATATTCAAGGTCATCAATAATAATATTCCATGACCTTTGAACTATCTGTGTCTCTTCACAGCTGATTCATCCTCAGGTGTTGTATTTAAATAATTAACTAGCTGGTCATCTGACTGCTGGTGGCCATTTGTCTCTGTGGCTTCTGAATTCCAAGTTCAAACTATATAATGCTTAAATCACAAATCACAGTAAATGATGGATATTCAAGGTCATCAATAATAATATTCCATGACCTTTGAACTATCTGTGTCTCTTCACAGCTGATTCATCCTCAGGTGTTGTATTTAAATAATCAACTAACTGGTCATCTGACTGCTGGTGGCCATTTGTCTAAGGTTACCTCTGTGGCTTCTGAATTCCAAGTTCAAACTATATAATACTTAGCTGTGATAGATTTAACTATAGCAACAGGTATTGTGCAAGAGGTAGTATATTATTGCCCACTCTCTCTAGAACACCAGATACCACTATTCTCAATTGGCTTGCATAATGGGGGGGGGGGGGTTGGTTGGCCAAATGATAAACACGTTTGATCAAAAGGTCTGTCATTCAGTCAAGTGGAGTGGTTCTGATTCCCCTCTTGTATGTGACAAGGAGTAGGGTCACCTGTCCAACCTCATGGGTTTTCTCCAGGTCCTCCGGCTTCCTCCCACTGCTAGAGACCAGGGGCCAGTTTCACGAAATTTTAACCAAGACAAAATCAAAATTTTAGTAATTTGATTGGATAATATTAGATTGATTTTAGTGCTTAGCCAATCAAAATTGAAGTATCTACTAAAATTTGGATTTTATCTTTAGTTAAGATTTCGAGAAACTTATTGATACCACTTATTACTCTGAAATGTCTTGTTATAAGTATTGTGATTGGTGTTATGTATAGATATTCTTCCTAGAACACTATATACCACTTCCCATTCTCAAATGTTATAACTATAGTGATGGTGTTATGTATACATATGAAGAAGTCCAGGGGAAGAACGATCTAAGTCACATTTTTGTCTTTTCGCATAAAACAACGAGTGGGTTTAATTACAACTTCAAAATGATGTTTAATATGAATCATAATTACCAGTACAACAACTGACTTCCACTTTTCAGCCAAATAGACATCTTTATAAATAGTTTTTCTACCTTTGTAAAAAAAAAAACAAAAAAAAAAAACAAGAACAGTCTTGACAAAATAAGACTCGAGATAAAACAAATTATTATTACTTCTATTCCATGTAAAACTCTCAGTTCTTGGCAACATTCTGCTTTTAGGACTTTTTTTTTTTTTTAACATTTTTCAAGCCGCTTTTGCTTTTAGGACTTTTTTTTAACGTGAAATAAACATCAGAATCAATTTGTGAAGCTGACGAAATTGACTTCAGTTGATTGAAAGCGCTGCAATAATGTCACACAATTCTGTCAATCAAGAATGCGAGCTGTAATCCCGCTTAAGTCTCTGTAAATTTACCAAGAATAATGCAATTTACTTCCTGAATGGAACCCAACTAACGAAAAGTGCAATGAAAAGTCAGAATCCGAGCGTGATTAATGGAGATGTTTGAAAGCTGTTTACTTCCTCCGTCCACCGAAAGCGGTTTTATTCAGGGCTATAATTTAGTCGTTGTCGAAGCAGACGTACCCTCGTGTGGCTGAACACAGATTGCATTGATCTTATTAAGCCAAGGCCAAACCATCTTAATTGTTGGACTGTTCAATCTCGTGTATGCTATCTGAGTCATTGAAACTAATCTATCAGTATAACATATCATATTTTCAATTTAGCAGGTTTGTAAACCAATGCTAGAGATTTATAATAATTTCAATTGCACAATCAGTGAACTGAATTATGGACATAAATTTAACAATACAAAATGAAACAGTGTTTATCATCCTACTTTTCTGTACCAACTGGGCACAAACTAGGCCATTTCTGGGCAAACACATAATTCAATCTTATTTCAAGAATTTGCTTGCGCATAAGGGTCTTTAGCAGTGGGAGGAAACCAAAGAACCCAGAGAAAACTCACAAGGTTGGACAGGCCATCCTACTCCTTGTCACATACAACCTAGAAATCGTTCAGGAGAGCGACCATTTTGCCCGGCAGTTTCGGTCTGATTTTCACAAAATTCGAACTCAACTATCATTATGGTGCAACAGAGATATATTGGAAAGTTTTTAAAATCAAATAAAAATTGTGACCTCTAGATGTTTCACAAGCTAAAAAGATGAGAGAAATCTCGTCGAAACAAGCTGGGAATTGTACAAGGGAGCAACCATTTTGCCAGGCAGTTTCGGTTTGATTTTCACAAAACTGAACTATCATTATGGTGTAATGGTGTAACGGTGATATATTTGAACATTCTTTTTTTAAATCAAATAAAAATTATGACCCCTGGAGGTTTCACAAGCTAAAAAGATAAGAGAACCCTTGTCGAAGCGTTGTAAGAAATAAACTTTTGAGTAACTTATTTGTATTCAATATTGTTGTGTCATGTGTTAA